GGAACCGGTCATTAAACAAGCTTTTTATAGTTTAACGCATTTTAACACATTTTCGGATTATTAACATGACTAATAAAATTATTGAAAATATTTAATCCGTAAATAATAGAGAAAGAAATCTTGCATTACTTTAGCCAATCTTCAGAAAGATATGAAATTAAAGAGAACTTTTATAAATTAATAATATATTTCAAAATTTATAATATATAGATTTTTATCGTTAAGAGTCTTATCAATTTTTAATTTTATTTAAAGCGATTTTGTATAAGTTTAATTTTTATTAGTTTGATGGAAGAAGTGACCATTCGTATTTCTTATCTTTATTTTGATTATGAAAATATAAATATGAAGTACAAAATTTTATATTGAATTTTGCTATTTGTGACTGAAAAAGTTATATTTGTATAATTTTATATATATATATATTACATTATGTATTTTGTTTTATGTATCTAAGTAAGTTTTTTTATTGCATCATAATTTTATGTCTTTTATTGTTCCTTTTCGACAATCCAAATTCCAAATGTCAAATTTCAAGAATGTTCTCATTTTATATTTTAATATTTTTTTATTTGATTACAATCATATATCAGACATATTTTTCTGTAATAATATACAAAACATTTCCGCGATACTTTAAACTACATTCTAAAATAAATGTTCTTTTTATTTGGCAACGCGCAGAGTTAACTCTTTCTTTAAATACAATGTGTTATATATTCATAATTCATTGTAATAATTAAATATTCGTCTATTAAAATTGCTTTGGTTTCTTTCAAAATAATTACACAAAATTTAATAATATATATACATTTTCCGAGAAATTATTCTTTTAAATAAGTTTTTTTAAATAGTTTTTTAAAATAATTGCGGGCTTTTGTAATTCAGAGCAGAAAGAGTTAACCGGGTTTTTCGAACACGACATTGGGAACTCTTTCTTTGGTTATCAACGTGTCGCGATGCCATTTGGCACGAATTTTATCACACCTCTGCTATCTCATGGTTATCACGCACAGCTAAACGACCTTATCTATTTTTGCCATATTTGCACATACGATTCGCGTACAAATTCGCGACGCCTACTTAAGGGACTATTATTTTCCAATACAGACGTTAACGTATTCTTGCCGATCGCAAGGACAGTAACGTTCGCATTTTTACAACTTTCGAAAAAAACTTTTAATACAAATTACGTTAACGAAAGAAACACACAAAATTCTATACGCAGGAAATTATTTACAAATATACAAATTTGATTGCGGTATTTACGAAGAGAATATTTTAGGTTCTTTTCTTCAAAAATGCAATATCAATTTTGATTTGAAAGACGACATCGCATTAGTGTTGGTTGATCGTTCCCTGGCTCGATTTTAGAACGCTTTATTTCCGCAATTTTAATAATTATTATTTATCGTTGATTCTGTAATTTAAAAAATTATAATATTATTAAACTTTTCCTTATAAAATCGTTTCAAAAATCTTGGAGTTTATTATATAAACTCAAATTTTGTGACTATGCATATTTTTTATGTATATATAAAATCGATATTATTGTGATAATTTTACTTTCTGTTGTGTTTGATTCGTAGATAACAGAATATTTATTATCAAGCTCTGATAAATCACTATTTACGGAAAATACTTTAATTTTTTTTTTGTAGTTGCTCCCAAAATATAATATTCGATTTGAACTTATCGGACGAGATTACGTCCGTATCGTTATCTTCTCGTATCGATCGCACGACTTCCGTTCGATTCGCCGGTAGCTCTTCTATTAGTGATCGGCTGACTGGCGGCGAGGTCATTTTATTGGGTATTTGGCGTAATCCTTCCCGAAATTCTCTACAGAGCGATCTGGCCGTTAAACTGTGCATCTGCCTGGGTGTTTCAATTATTTGTATCTCAGGTGTGGACGATCTGTCTTTAGCATCTTCGATTTTCGCTACCTGCGACACAAAAATATTAAATTGGACCAATACCCAAATTATTGACATTTTGATAAATGTCACATTAACTGTACTTCTTTTTTGAAGCTAGAAGCGTAGAAAAATAATATAATTATACATATAAATCTTATTTAAATAAAAATATTATTAATTATACCAATGCCAAAGAGAATATAATATATTATTAATCGATATGACATTGATATTTTTGAAAGTTATATGACGAGATTGTTTTTGAAAAATTTCGAAAGACGTCAAACATTTTGTATTTAATAAATTATTAAAACAATTGACCAATGTTTCATGATAAATAAAGCATTCAGAGCAAGATTGTTGTCAAACTATAATTTGTAAGTTTTTCTTTAAATGTAAGTTCGTATTTAATTAAATTTTCATAAATTTCTATCTACAAATTTTATTTCTAAAATAAATTCATCTACGTATGCATGTACTTATCTAGATTTATTTTTACATATTATCGATTTTTCACTCTCTTGTTCTGAATTTTCTTCAAGTGTACTACGATCCGATAAACTGAAATGTCTGAGGTCTAACTGAAGTTTAACTGAAGAGTGAAGAGGCTATTTTTTTACCGAGACTCTGGTTACTTTCGCGGGCACGGCAGTCTCTATTTCGGAAGTCTGTCGCCTGCCGAACGCTTGTGCGAGTCTTTTCACCGAAGGCATCACTCGCAATTCTTCGTCCACTCCTTGCCGAACCTGATCCTTGTTTTCGACATATATATTTTCGAAAGATCTGTCCATGTCGGACGAGATTTCGTCATAATCGTTCAGCAGCGAATTGTCGTCCCTGGTGATCGCATCGCGTTCATCCGTTGTTGTTTCTTCCTCCGATTTATCGATCACGTGATCCAGCAAATTCTTAGCGGCCAGGTCGTCTTGATCTTGATTCACGTAAACCGGATTTGCTTTGTAATACATGTCATCAGCGACATTCGGCATCGATTTGGCCGATATCAATCTCGAATTCACCTGCTCTACATTGTCCTGCAGCTTGTTGAGGTCCTTCGTGCTCTTTGCGAAATCCTTGCAGTCGAATGACTCCGACGCGTCATATGCTGAATATGAGCGGCGTACGATCCTGCATCTCGTTAGATTCGATTTCTCGTTGTTTCGCATGATCGGCTCGTTCAATTGATAGTTGGAGTGCGCGCGACGCAGGATGCCGTCGTGATAGCCGTAGGAGCTCAGGTCCAGCCTGTTCACCATCCTCTGCTGCCGGGTAGCGGTGGTTTTGTGTTCCGAAAACTCGTTCTCGAAACCGTACGCCTTCAGATCGATTTTGCGTACCTTCCGGTCCTTATCGTCCTTACGCTCGGCCTCGTGATTATTCTCCTGGTTGTTCAATTTAGCGTTGATCTCGTTCTTACTGTTCTTCCGCTGATTCTCCAGAATATCGTCCGCGCGTTGGTGATCTTTCCACTTCATCTCGTCATCCTCGCTTTTAGCTTTCTCAGAGCCGACGTCGACGGCAGAAGCACGCGAATTTACGGTGCGATTATTCGTTTCGGGACTAATTACCTCGGCGTTATTTTTGCGCCATGAGGCCGTCCTTGTATCTTTGTCTTCTTGCGGAATTGAAATATCGTCGGCTTCCTTGGATGTAGATTCTTCCTGTAACACACGAAGGATCACTGACATTAAAGATTTCGCGCTCGAAAGCTGCGTATTTTGTGATCGTTGTATTCTAGATTTTCGTTATTTTTTTCTATTTGCGGAAGGTCATGGAATTTTTCTTTCTTTTTGGTCCTGTTTCTTTTTCGTGAATTGTTATACGATTAATACTATTATCTGATAAGGATACTAATAGCGCGCGATAATTTGTGATATTATATTATATGAGATACTTTTATTATAATACTATACATTAGCAAAAAAGGTTTTTCATGTTAGTATCATAGTTAGTGCAATGTCTGTGAGTGGCATATTAATTCTATTAATATTTAAAAGATTGAAACAGTAATTGTTAATCGTACGAACGCCTCCTTGCGCTTAATACATATCGGTTGTGATTTTAACGATTTTTCTGCGATAATAACTGACCGGTCAATACTTGAACTTTGAATATCAAACATATGCGGACATATTATTTTGATATCATTTTTAAATTTATTTAAAAAAAGCGTTATAATTTATTGCAGTATATATTCAAGAATACTAAACTGTTCAATATTTTTTATTTACACAAGTTTTAATTTTGAAAAGATAACTGCACGAGTCAATATGTTTTAAGCAAAGAGTCATACATTCGCTTTTGCAAGTAAAAACAAGCTATTGGTGTTAGTGCTTTTGTAGTTGAGAAGTTTTCTTATTGTTAATATATTATATATATTATATAGTACGAATATAATTATAAGCATCAAGCACCCAACGTTACATATAATTAAATACATGAATATTAACAAAATTATCGATCTCTAATGCTCGATAATGCTAATCAATCTCTAATGATCGATAATGCTAAGAATGCTGTAAATTACCTGTTAAAGCTGTCGTACGAAAAGTTGCTCAATATCATTATAATTAGTATACATTCAAAGAATTATTATGTATTAAAAAGTACAAATAATATAAATAATATAATTGTTAATTGCTGATTTTAATTAGTAATTTGTGGATCTTGCGAGGTATAGCAACAATTTTTTTTATACCAGAAATTTTGGCGCTTACGAACGCTTTTCGAGCTTCGAGATATATTGATACATTTATTTGTTAGTCACTACACGCTTAAATAAGTAGTATACTTACCGATTAAAATATTCTCTTTCGCAACTCGCGTGTGAAATTGATTCCAGTGTTAACGTTGTTATCTCATATGAGGTACATTGAGATAATAAGTAGATATAATTAGATCTGTCGTGCGAATTGACGAGCGCGATGCATACGCGATACAAGTGTTGACGGATTATCCAATAATTTGGCACATATCGATAAAAAATGGAAAATGTGTCTATTATACTGTCACTTAAAAAAATTAACTTAATTTCTTTTTTTTCTTAATTGTTGAATTTTGGGCAGAAAATACAGTACAGAGTACGACGATACAAATTTATTTTGTATTATAGATTGGTTACTTCGAGTAACTACAGAATCACTAAAGCGGTCAAATGTTTGCAAGTTTTGATATAAATTCTCTGAAATAATCAATTCGTGTTTACAATCGTTATTGTAATGTATTTAAAAAAGTGTAAAATTTAAAAGAAACTGTAAAATCTTTTTTAATCTAAAAGTCTCCAATGTTCTTTTAAAAATATCAGGAGATTTGAATGTATTTTAATATTTAACATCAAAGAGATGACATCGAAAATTACATATAGCTTGCAAACTTCTATGGAGCAACAAAGATAATATTAAATAATAACCGTTACCTATAAATTTCATGCGATTGTAAGGTTAATTTTTATCTAATTATAGTTAGATTAGGTAATTAGTTAAAATCTTTCTACCAATATACCAAAAGTATGTGTAGAATATGTATACAGGATTGTCTGTATATTACATGAATAATGTTATTTAAAAATTTCAACAATTTTAAGTCCTTATTTAATTGCCAGATGTGATACGCATGAAAAAACTGACCATTAGATGTTTTCAAAGAAAAAAACTTTCCATTATTTTTTAAAATATTTTCTATCGCGAGATGTAAACTTCTCGTATTCATTTGTAATATAAGTGTTGATTAATTTTAATCCTGGATTAAATCAATTATTACAAATTAACATGCGTAGGGTCATTGTTAATCGCTTTTCGTATATTAAAAGCGAATATTGAAACGTAACAATTAGAAGTTAATTATTAATAACATACACGAGCTTATTTATTATTAATTTCACCAATATTAATAAGAGAGAATAGTATTGAATAATATTAAAACGTAGTTATGAACAAAATTTAGTTGGGAACCTGTTGAGGAACGGGAGAATCAGTATTATTGTGATATACACACACATCTCAGACTTTTATATACCCGTATTTATTAACCATCTACGACCGATCATCGTATAAATATTACCTTTTAGCCGTGTTAATCGTGTATAATTATTGCACTTATTTATTTATTAGTATATTAGCGCATCGCGCTATGGCACTCTTATCTCAATGAATATCGAAGTTATGGCATTAATATGAATGCACTCGCATTTCATTCTCAGGTACATTATCGCACCGAATAGAAGAAATCGACTATATACATAGCATTAAATACAATTATTAAATTATCGTTAATAAATCTTTACAACCGTTAACCCGACCACTGCGAATTTCTAACATTCACACGTCGTCTAGAAAATCCCACAATATTCTCCATTAATTCTATCTTCCATTTTGATGCACCTGTTTATTTTGATATGCTTTATCTTCCATTTTCTCTTGCTAGTAAATTATAAATTCTGCGCTGTCTCTCTCTAAAATATATTTTAGTATTTGCGATATAATATGGTAAGAACATTTTTAGGATTATTTCTGTTAAGATATAGCATATTCATTTTTATAATATGGCCACTTCATTATGGCAATCGCGCCACAATTAGCGCATCCTTTCCATCGATTTTTATTCTATTTACAAATTGGTGCTCATCACCATATTGTGACATCGCTCAAACTTCTCACGTTCAACTTCTTGGGTCTGTTATTATCGCTCTTCCATTGCTCTTGCATTTGAGACTCCTTCGAGCTCTCTAGATTGTTTTCATTATTTTTCGATTTTTCCAATCCTCCGTTGCTATTTTTTTCAAATGTCTCTCGATGCTTTCGAGATCTGTTTTCTCTTTCTTGTGTCGTAACATCGTCGTCACTGAACGCTTTCCTCCGCTTCGAGACATCCTTCAGGAATTTATTCATTATAATCTCGCCGGAGGCACAATCGATCTCGTCCTGCCACTCGTCATCCTCGGTCGGCAAGGACCAGAGGCAGGATGAATTTCTATTACTCCTACGAATTAAATTTCTGTGTTTTATTTTGGGACTTGTTCGATTTCTACCACGTGCAATTTGTGTGTATCTCGCGGATACCCGATCGTTTGTGACGTCATCTTCTTCATCCTGCCAATCGCTCTCTTCGAAAGTCGAGCTTGTCGAGTGCTCGAAGCTCGTAAATCCTTCGAAACTCGCTGAACTATTTAAACTTGCCAATCGATCGAAACTCCCTGCGTAATCGACGTTAGAATACAGCTCAAAATTTGCCGATGTTTCCGTTTCGACTCGATCACAATTTTTTTCCGTATTGGAAATTATAGCTTCCGACAGAACTGGTCTTAGCCGGATCCTCCTGTAACTCGGAATTTTCTTCTTGTTGATTTTCCTGCTCCTCTTAATCCCACCGAAGGTCTGAAATTTCAATTTCGCGAATTCCGTAGCATGATCTGCGAAACAGTTCTCCGGCGAGATCAATTCGTCCTCGAAGTCGTCCAAGTCCTCCGTTTTCTTCGATCGAATTCTGATACCGCCATACGTGTGATACTTGCCGGTGGTCCAGAACCTTCTGCCGCCGATCGACGATATTTGCTCGTCGTGACAATCGTTATCCTCCATCTGGTACAGCTTCCGCCAGCGATCGCTCGTCTCGGAGTCCCGCGAGCCGATAGAGCACATTCCGGAATCGTGATCGCGCCCGTCGCAATCGCACGGCAACTCCTCACGGCTGTCATCGTATTGCGGCATTATCGGCTCTTCGTCAACTGGTGGATCTCCGTCGCGATCACTACGCCAAAGTCGACTCCAGTCCGCCGACACCAGTTGCCGGAAATCCGTGTTGGTCTCCAAGCTCTCCGCCAGGACGCGGTTGCCCTCTTGCTTCTCGCAAATCGCTCTCAGATTCGATTTCGCGCAATTCCTCGAGTCTCGATTCCCCGTCGCGTTCTCAATCGCGTTATCCGCCGTTCGCGCATTTCCTACGAGATTCCCGGCGTGCTCCTCGCCGCCGTCGCAGTCCGATCGATCATTCGCGGACGATCGCGCGAGTTCCAGGTGCAGAAGGGGGTTGATCGCAAAGTGCGGACTGGCGCGCGGATCGCGGCAGCGTCGTCGAGAGAGGCTGCCGCGCAGCGATGCGCCCTCGAATCGCTCGAGCTCGTGCTGTTGACTCACCTGTTGTTCGCGCTGTTCGTCGCTGTTCGACTGCTGGGATAGCGAGCTGCTCGGTCTGCTTGACACCGAGGACATCGCCGATCTGGCCCGCTCGTGCTGCTCCCCGTTGGCCGCCTTCGACTGATTGATGTAGTAGTCCCTGCCGAAACTGCACAGTGATCGATAAAATTAAATTAGTATAAGTTTTTTTTAACAAGAAATGATCGGTATTAATTTTTTTCATAATTTTATTTATCTCAATCAATTGATAATTTAAGGAAATTTATTCGAAAATATTTTCGATATTTTTTATGAAAAAACACAGATTATTAAAAGAAATAATTTGACTAATTTTTTAATATATTGTGTATTTTAATTGCTATTTTTATGATTGCGAAGAAATTATTAAAAATTATTTTATTTCGCAAATTAATAGTTTTAATTGCTGTCTTTATTGTTTCGAGAAAATTAATTAAATTCAAATTACCGTTTGATATCTGGTCGATTGGGTACTAGGAGCGTCTCTAAATTCACTTCGTTTAGCTTCGTTAGCTCGTAATGGGCTCTGAATAAAGCAAGAGATTAAATTGAGAGCTTTGTGGCTACAATAGGACAGGATGGCTCACAAAATTACGCGATTCTTACCCCGAAATATCTGAAGTTCGCGAATATTGCCTTTCCAAGCATCGTTTCCGTATACTTTCTTCGCTGTAGGGATTGTTTTCGATCGGCAGCGCATTTTCCCATTTCTTGTGCTCGCGCTCCGCTATTGTGCCTGTCCGATATATTCATGATTATGTCATATTCGCGATATGTTCATTATAATGCATTATAATGCATTATAATGCATTATAATGAGTGTCGCATTACGTTCGTTATTTCAAGGTGTCAAGAATTTAAAAAAAAATTTACTAAAATGTGTTTTTTTAAAAGAACATAACTGCAATTAACGTGCTATTTCCTTGCTTTTTATGACGTAATTCTTTATACTAATAAAAACTTCTCTTGAAAATTTATCTAATATTAGTTTTAAATTTCAAAGTTTAGTTTTAATCTATAATAAATTTTTCTGTATATTTTGCTATAAATTTTATATTTAATACTAGAATGAAATTGCTTAGAAAATAAAATAAAGTTTTTGCTATCTTTTCATAAATCCAAGAGATGAGAGGTTTATTATGAATAATTATACATGTAAAAAATTACCTGGACGTGGCGGGGCGCTTAATCGATCATTGTTAGTCGTCGCATCGACATAATCTTCCTCGATTGTTGCATAAGACAATTGGACTTCGGCTTCCGAGCGTTCGCTGCGTAAAGTTGGAAAAAAATTACGAAAGATGTACAACGTGTCGCGACGCAAAATGATGGGAAGAATTACGTAGCAGGATTCATGTAATATCAAGGTGTGTGGGGAACCAAACTATCATTTCCATCGCTTATTACACATTCATTTCGAAACCTGAGCGCGGTGTGTCTTACTTTATTAATATTTATTATATCTTTGCGAAAAAGATTAGATAAACGAAAATCCAGAAGTAAAGAACAAAGTATTTAAGAATCAGAATATATTTTTCTAACATATTCAAATAAATTTAATTTATAAATTTTTTTAATTTGCAAATTGTATTGTAATTTTGTTTACTTAAATTGATAAAGTCATAACTGACGAATAAAATTACTGGTTACAATTAATTGCTTAGAGAGAGAGAGAAATATTTCAGATTCTACCTTTTTTGTTTTTCGGTTGAGTTGTTCTCCGATTTCCTGAGTTGTTCGTCCGTAATTTTCCTAGTTTCGTCAGCCATCTCACTCTCTGCGGAACAAACTTCGACTTTCGTCAGACTATCTAAATGCCTCTGAATCGCCGTGTCGTAATGTTCGGTGTATTCGCTCTCCTGTTGCTCTTCCTCAGCGATGTTTCCTTCTCGATCGTTTCTTTCATTAGGTTTTTCAGATTGCATTTTCATGCTCGTTTGCGCGAAACTTTCCACCGCGATGTTCACAATTGTTTTCTCATCGCTCTCGATTGTATTCTTAGGTTTCTCTTCATTTGACTTTATGGCTTCTATATTTTTTTCCGCTACTGTTATCAGCGTTGAGGAACTTTCATTTTGTGTCTCTTTATCATCTTCATCCTTGATTGTTTTTTCTTCTAAGAGATTTTCATTAACTTTCGCATTCTTCTCATCTTTATTGAAACGTTTGCAAATAACCACAGTTTCTTCGACCTTTGTTTCCTTTTGACACGCGTCAACCTCGTTTCTCCTGCATTCCGTATCGCTTAGCATTTTCTGACTGTTTAGCATCTGATTACTTTTCGCGTCGCATTCGGAGGTTCTAGGAGTTCTGGGGACAACATTATTGATTGCTTCTATCAATTCCTTCTCGATCTCTTCGTCGGATTTCGTAGAGGAGCACTCGGATAAATCAGACGTGTCCTCAGCATCTCTATCGCCGATTAGGGCCTTATAATCCGCATTGGAACTCGGTACCAACATGGCAACCGCATCTGGTTGCGATCGGGAGGTTTTCTTCTTCTGGAACAACCAATTGTCCTCCCAGGACTCGATAGGCGAGACTAGATCCGTCGCGTGATCAGCAGCGTGACGCTTTGTTCTAACTGGCGAGAATTCGTCGCGATTTAAGTCCGACGAGTCCGATGACGTTGATAATGTCGGCGAGGACAATTCTCGCCGAGCTGTTTCAAGTATCGTAAAAAAATTAATAACTAATGCCTCAGTAAATTGCAGTGAAGCTACAATTAAGTTATTTTCCGAGTATGATTTTTGAATTACAAACGATTGTAAATTATCAAATGTCATAAATTAATTTCAAAATATATATAATATCGTGCGATGATTTTCTTTCCAGATTTATAAATGATTTCATGTATTTCTGGATATTCAAATAATATTCGATAAAAAAATCGAGTCACTCACGATCAACGATATCCATTCCGTATTCCGGAAATGGAACGCGCCGGGTGTGTTTGAATTCCAAGGCATCGTTGTTTTGAAGTTCGCCATCGTCCGTGATCGTGGTTATCTCTTCTATCCGCTCTTCCATCTAAAACGAGATTTCGTCTCTTTCAAATTGAAAAGCCAACAAATCAGCGATACACTATTTGACGCATCTGATATAGTCATGTCTTTTTATATCGATTCTGTGTTACACAGTCGAGAATTTATTATAAATCTGATATGCAAATTTTATGTTGATTCTTTTTATCGCGTGCTAGCGTTACGTTCTGCATTTAATGTATAGGAATATGTAAATTAGATTGTAATCATCGTCGGTGATACCATGAAAGACACCGGCTCCTGATCGTCTCCATTTCGTCCGATTGACTCACTACGATCACCGTTGCTTTCGGGACGATAGCACGCGTAGCTCGCCACGTCTTCCTCTTCAAGGCCATTCTCGGTCTCGACTGAAAAAAAAAGTCTTTCGTAAATATGTCTCTGACATCCCGTACATACCTTCGGTACGCGATAACGCGTTAAGTAAATTCTACGTACTTCTGGTACATTTTGCCTTCGGCGAATCTGTGTCGCGCAGAACATTGCTGTTGCCATCTACTCGTTCTCTTTGATATTTCTCAATGACCTAAAATGTGCATAATGAATTTGATTCTATGTAATTTAATTTAGGAAATGCAGCGCGCATTTTAATTAATATTAATTAATGTTAAGAAATA